TAGAACCATTGGGAAAATCATTTGATTGGTTAGGATTTTGATGTAGTTGTTGAGATCTCTTTTTCTCTTTATCCCAGAAAGCAAGAAAAAATTTTCCACGATTCTAAAGTAATGGGTTACCCTCCTTTTTAGGTCATCAATTTTAACAAGAAGTTTTTTTTTTTAATTTTTTAATTTTTTTATTTAAAAAGATTTTTTTTATCTTTAAAATTTTAAATTTAACTCTTTTTTAATTCTTTCCTTATCTTTTTATATAAATATCTCGTTTAATAACAAAAGTTTTAAAATAAAAGAATTAAAATGAGTTTTTTTAAAGTAAATAGATTAAAAAAGAGTTTTTTTAAATAGAGAGATTAAAAGAAGATTTTTTTAGTTCTTTTTTAGTTCATTTGTTTTAAAATTTTTACCATATAATATGTTATATATGTAAAAAGTAACGAAAGCACTAAAAAAGATTGAATTTTAAATTTTAAAAATTAAAAAGAGATTTTTTTAAGTTGAGGGGTTAAAAAACCTTTTAATTAAAGTAAAGGGACCAAAATGAAGTTTTAACCTAAAGTAATCTACTACTACTGCAACCATTTCACACTGCTTTCCATTATAGGATAGAAAAAGAGATTAGGTTTGTTGTTGACACTTTATATTTTTCCAAAGTTAAGCTGACTTAGTTGTAATGTAATTATGATGGTAATTGTGCAGTTGTTCATGGACCTAATGGATCTCCATTTCCCACATCTGAATACGAGCACTCATCCATTCCAGCAACAGTGAAGAAGCTCTTCAATCTCAGTTCACCCTTTCTCACTAAGAGAGATGAGTGGGCTGGTTCTTTTGAACACATTGTACAAACCCGGACACAACCCAGAACTGATTGTCCAGGTTCTTTTCTTCGTTTATAACTTCACCTTATTAGTATTTTTTTTTAACTCATTATTTTAGCTTTGTTTCTTATCTATGAAAGTGTTTTTTAACAATTGATATATTTGAGCAGAGCAACTGCCTACTCCAGTGAAAGTCAGGCCAGGTGAGGCCAATGAAGAGGCCAAGCTTAGTGAGTTCCAGCAGGAGCTGCTGCAGCTGGCAGCAGTGCTGAAGGGAGATCATATCTTCACGAGTTACCTAGAAAAGATAGGGAAGGCAATGAGCGTA